CATTTGCATTTTTTTATGAAGGAAACTGGTGTTGCTATCTCCTTCCTTTGCCCACTCAACCTTGACCCTTAACATAAAAAACACCTTTCCTCCATAATCAGTAATTCCTCAAAATTGGCTCGCAAGCCATCTTTTTCTAGTTTTAAGTAAAATGGGAGGGCCTCCCTCACTTATGTATAATCTAATTCATGAAGCCTTGCAACCACTTCTTGTTTCTTTTTGTTGACATAGTCAAAAACTTATTTATCCTTAAGTTTCTTCTACTTAGGAGATGACCATATCTCCTCCTAAGTAGAAGAAACTTAAGGATAAAGAATTTTCAGTCAGAACCAAAGCAAAGAGCAATAATACTTCTCACAAGGCATCAACTTTGGCCTTTCGTATTTTGAATGGTGCGTATGCTGAAAAATTGGGAACTTTTCTTTAAAAAATGAACGTATCTAACTTTTCTTTCAAAAATGAACGTATCTATATTTCCCAATTAATTGAAATCTTTTGTTCACTCAAAGGCGAGTACTAAAACTCTGGCAAGATCGATCAAAAGGCAAGGCTTGCAAAAAAAATTTATCCTCTAATCACTTATTTGCCCCCCAATTCCTCGACTCTTTGCTTTCAACAAGGTCAAAATGGAATTTGATTATCACACCAGACGGTCCGCCATCACCATTATGATTTGTGTTTCTATAAACTGCATGGTCAAGAAGATATACCTTTCTATATGTCCATATGACGATGAAGACGATGATCAAGGTAACTTCTAGCTACCTGTGGAAGTATTTACACATCAGCATCTCAAGGTTCTGAAATTCAGTAAAGTGAAGGTCGTTGTGCCACCAGATTCCCGCCCATCTTTCAAGGTTGTGCATGTGGACATCTCATATTATTGCGAAGAATCTTTGCAAGATTTCTACATAAACTGTCTGAACGAACATCCTGATGAAAAACTAAACTTTGATGTCAGTTCGGAAAGTCTGAAGGCTTTATACATTAAGGTGCAATCATCGTTTAATTTCGAGGATGACAACGACAACCTAGATACATATAGTTTTGTAACTAATACACCAAATTTGGAGAGCCTTGGCATCGATGAAGACATCTTGGGGACTTATGAAATGGAAGAAATGTTTTTCCTATGTTGGAGCAATAATTCAAGTTGGGTGGCAAGATCTAAATTACCCCAATAATAGAGAATTTATTGATAGAGCTTTTATGATAATGGCTGGTTTGACTCATGTTAGGTGTCTGACCCTGGGCGAGTGTACAGTTGGGGTGAGACATTACCTTTCAATTAAATGTTTTAGTGGGCGTTAGTGCACTGATTTTGTTTTGGTAAACTTTTTGGTATTTAAGAGGTGTTTTTAATCACTTCCTTGTTATTTTCTTTCTTTTTAGCGAAAGCACTAGGATATGTTGTACACTTGAATTATCTACATGATCATGGTCATGGTATGCCAATTTGGGATAAAGCGGAAGTTTGGATATTCTGTAGGCAAACATTCCATGAGTTCCATCATTTGACCAACTTGAATATGTCAATTGGAAATAGTCATGGTTGGAATCTTTTGTCATACTTACTTAGGTTTTTTTTTCTAGTTTGGAGACGTTCCGTTTGGAAATGGTGAGTATATCAATTGTTTTTACTTTCTTTGTACAAAAGGAGTGCAACATATTCTAAATCTTTATTTTTCTTTTCTATAATTTATTGGATTGGCAGGTTTATGTACATGATGTGGATTGAAACAATAGATTTACATGGAATTCACCCCAAGTGAAACCAACAAGTTTGATGGAGACCATCATTAGTGTCGAGGTGACCAGGAGGACGAAAAAGGGATGCCATTGATAAACTATCTCCAACAAATTTCTACTGAGATTCAAAAGTTCCAAATCATAATCAAGTGATTTAGTAGCGCAGCTGGTGTATTTCTTATGTTTATTGACTTTTTTCTGGAATGTTTAGGGTTCTTGATCTATGTTTCTTTAATAAGCAAGTGCATTTGACAATGATGATACATTGGGTTATTTTGAAGTTGAATTTGGATTGATAAGTCAAGCATTGTCTTGATAATTGTTAAATGAAAATTGAATTTTGCTGCCAGTTGATTAACAGATTTTGTCACTCCTAGTGATTTTCTCCCTTGAGAAAGTATTAAGGACGTGACAACTTCGTTAATACATTAAGAGATCTTAAAGAACAACCATTGTTGTTTTGTCGCTCACCTAGAAAATGAAGGAGTTTCTTTGAAACTTTCGAAATAAATAAGGATAATTAAGCCATAAGTTACATCCAGTTGATCTATGAGCCATGCAACACATCCCAAATCAAAGGAGATGTGAAAATTCCTTGCTCCAACATGTTCATAAATTAGAAAAGACCGGATGGTCAATCTGAATTCAGAACAACTTGGACTTAGTTCTGAACTCTCTAGAAATATGCCTAATAGGGATGACAATAATCCACGTATGGTCAGGTCTTTGGCCCTAACAGGGAGAATTTTCTGGAGGAAAACGGAGGCTGGTACAGGGATCCCCATTTTTTAAAAATACCCCCATAGTATATGGGGTCAAGGATGATATTATTATCCATATCCCCGAACCCGGCCCGATAAGTGTTGTATTTATTTTAATTAATAAATATATAATATGATAATTAAAAAGTTACCATAATTCCTAAACCCATGTCGTGTACAAACGTTCCTTATTCCAACACCAACACAACCATTCGCCTTCTCGCTTCCTAATTCTTCTATCTCTCTAACTCTAAGCAATTAAAGTTTGAAACAAAGTTCTAATCTCGTTTTTAATATATGTCACAATCAAGTCCAACCTTCACATCTTTTCCTTAATCTCTATCAAAATCAAGTCCTTCACATCTTTTTCAATCTTGTATTTTCACAGAAACCCCATGATTTGAACTTCAAAAATTGAAGCAATTTGATATTTGGAGAAGGCTCTTTTAAAGGTGATTTGCATAAGGTGCTTTGCATAGGAACATTTAAGAGTTCAGGTTAGTGGACAATCAACTCAAATATATGCATGCCTTCAAATGTGGTGAAGAATTATCTCATGCAGTCCGTTCTTAAATTGGTTTACTTTGTTTAAGAAACCATATTTTTATAATGATGAGCAAACAAAGTGATAAACATTTTCCCATTCTTAGAAAATTTTATAAATAACTAATTAAATAATATTAAGTTAAGTTAGATTAGTACGTTAAAGTAGCATGGTTGTTGTACAGCCACATATTCTTCTTTTGTCCATTCAATTGTTGATATTCTATGTTAGATTTATAGTTAGTGGACTTAATTCACTTGTATGATCTTTTAATTTTATACTTGATAAAATTAAATAGTAGGATATGAGTTCCATTAATTTTTATCGTATTTTCAATGAGTTTAGTTCTTTGTGTATGTACTGATTGAATATTAGGATATAATTTCAATCTAATTTTCTTCTTTTAATCAACTTATGACTACATTTTGTTGTTGTATTATTCTTTCTTTTTTTAATAGGCAAATGATAATTTTTTTTTGGCTAGATTGGTGACCATAATGAAGAGATTCAAGCTCCTTAAACCCCAAATGAGGATCAAAACAACTATGTGGCAAATTGAAATATAAAAAACCCAACACCAACTGAAAATGAAAACAACACTGCAAAATCAAGTTCAACTCAAGTTGGTGTGAATAAAAGGAAACGTAGATCTCCAGCTTGGGAACAAAAGTGGAATTGTCATCACAACGAATGTGTGGACATCGAATAATCAAAAGAGACGATTCATGACTATCACATTACATTTCATTGATGATGCATAGAATCTAAAAAGCCGTTGTTGAGGTCCAAAAAAGTCACAAGAAGCCCAAAGACATTCAAAGCCCAATATAACATATAATGTTGGTCATGCGTTAATTCAAGCTGTATTTTGGGAATTAATTTATTAAATAAATATATAAATAGTGTACATGCCATGCCAAATCAATAATACATTTTTCCTATGCCAATCACCTACCAAGCTCACATGAACCCAAGTCATGTGGTTTACAGGGCTTGCACGAGGGATTGTGGTGTGGAAGGTTACGGAGGTCCACAAGGCCCATGGAAGCTCTTGGATAATGGAGATTTTGGGCTAGCTACCTGGGAGCACCAAAGTCCAAGCCAATTACTTAGAGTTCTCCAATGTGGGTGAGCAAATGAGATATTTTCAAGCACTTCCTTTTACCCATAAGAAATAGTCATTTTCCAAATGCCTAGCTTTACCCGTTGGAAACAAGCCTTTTCCAGCACTTCCTATTACCCGCTGGAAACAAGCTGTTTCCAGTGCTTCCTTTTACCTATAGGAAATAATCAGTTTATGGTACCTAGCTTCACCGGTTGGAAAATAGCATGCCCTAGTGCTCCCTTTTAGCCATTGGAAATAGGCTGGTTCCAGCACCTCCATTTACCTATTGGAAATAAAGGAAAACCCTCACCTTCTATAAATTGGGAGGCATTTCTCAGCCAAGATCAACCCATCTTGGTTGTTGCAAGCTTCTCAACAACCATGAAAACTCACCTTTCTTTAGTTGTTGCAAGCATTCCAGCAGCTTCTAATTTTTCTTCAGCCAACACTCCCTCACTTGACTGCCGCAAGAATCCCAGCAGCCATCAACTCCCATAAAGCATCACCTAGCTCCAAGCTTTTCCTTCCTTCCAAGCTTTAAACACCATAGCCTTCAAACCTCAAGCTTTTCCTTCCATCCTCCTTCTCTTGAAACTCTTAAATCCATAAAGCACCACCTAGCTCCAAGCTTTTCCTTCCTTCCAAACTTTAAACACCATAGCCTTCAAACCTCAAGCTTTTCCTTCCATCCTTCTTCTCTTGAAACTCTTAAATCCCTATAGCCATAGCCACAAACAACAAATTATCAACACCAAACTCAAACATATCCAACACCAAGCCAAGCACATGCATTCTCATTTGCTAAACTTGCGGGTCTTTAGCTCCCACACTCCAAGCTCTCATGTCAAGCTCATATCAACATCATCAAGTCATCTTCAACTCTTCGTCGAGCTGCCGAAAACATCAATACAAAACACACAGCTGCTGGAAGAAGAACAAAGTACTCCCCTGGGACTTGCTTGTTCCTCGGGATACTTTGGGCCTAGTTCTCGCTAACTCAGACAAAGGGGCAACAAAGTCTTCATTCATCACTCTATGGCAATCCAAGAATCAACAAGCCCGGATGAGCCTTCGGACGAAAAAGACCCCAACAGCCGTCTAATAAGGTAATTTATTCTATTGTTCTTATTTAAATTCTCATTATTCATTTTTTACAATAATTAGATTGTGACTTATTTGGTTTTCATTATATGTTATATATGTTCCATGTCCACATATAGCGGAGATACTTGCGGATCCTTTATTAGAATGCATGTTTGGTTGGAATCTTGACCGTAAGTTGTCTACCTTAACTGTTTCTCTACAAATGATTCCATAATTGCAATAGTCTTGGACAATATTTGTTATACTTCACTTATATTAGATGGATGTTTATTCCACATGTGTTGTTGTGCTCATATTTTAAATTTGGTGGTGAGAGATGGCTTAGATGTGATTAAAAAGAGTATTGAGAAAATTAGGTATAGTGTTGCATATTGGCTAGGAACCCAAAAAAGAGAGGATAAATTTATTGAAGCAGTCAAATAATTGATAGTTCCAAACATTAAAATGTTAGAACTTGATTGTAAGACTAGATGGAACTCTACTTATTCCATGCTTAAAACTGCAATGATATACAAAAATGTTTTTCCTCGTTTGAAGCAATGTGAGCCTTTGTATAAAGAAATGTCCAATGAAAGTGATTGGGCAAAGACAAAAGAGCTTGTTGATAAATTGACAATGTTTTATGATGCGACTTTGCTTTTCTCGGAGACCAAGTATCCTACTGCTAATCTTTACTTTAAGAATAATTGTGCTATTATATTATCAATTTATGCATGGCTTGTTTCTGAACAAGAAGAGGTACGAGCAAATGACATTACAAATGCAAATAAAGTTTGAGAAATATTGGGATACGATACACGGTTTGATGGGAGTTGCAAGTATTTTGGATCCAACGTATAAGATGAAACAAATTGAGTTTTTGTGTCCTCTCATATATCTAGAGAATGCAACCCAAGAGATCAAGAAATATAAAGATATTCTTTATGACTTGGTCAAGGAGTTGTTGGAAATACAGTAATCAGTGACTATTTAAAATATACAAATTTATAAATAAACCCAATCCTAGACATGTATTTATAAAAAAACCCAAACACTTTTTAAACATAGAAACACACCCAAAATCAACAATTGTATATTTTTTGGGTGTGTTTATAAATGGGTTTTGAGTGTGTGTAATGATGGATTTTGGGTGTGTTTATAAAGTGTTTTGGGTGTTGGGTTTTTTTTATAATTTCAGCCCCCATTTTGGATGTTTTAGTGAAACTCCCTTTAAAATAACTATATATTATCAATATGAACAAAATAGATACAAACTGTAATACAAAATACAATAAACAACAATTAATAAAACTAACTTGGATTCGAGATAAAGGCTTGCAGATTTGATGCAATGTCCTAAAGACAATAATTTCACCCCTTCTCGGTGCTTGAAGTTCTACAGGTGACTGCCTCCCAGGATTCAACTATCTGTATTCTAAGCCCTAGCACTCGGACTTAGAATCTGGCGAACTTTGTTTGTTTTCCTCTCAAACAATGTGAAATGCTTGTAGAATGCTTTTTCTGTATCTAACGAATGAGGCCTTGTTCGATTTAAATAAAACTCTGAAACCTTATCAGAAGAGTCACAATTGTTAGAAAACAGTTAATTAAACTAATCTGAATTAATAAAAAAAATTAATTCGAAACCAAAAAATTAATTTAAATTTGAACATGCCCAAGTGCCCCAAGGCTTAAGGCCCATCTTTTTTACCATTAAATATTATATAATTTTATACAATATTCAAAGCCCAAATCGTTTTTGAAGCCCAATTTGCTTCAACTTGGCCCACTTCCATTTACTAAGTGTGAGACTTCCACACTTATAAAGACCTCACTCTTTCTACTTTCTACCAATGTGGGACAAAGGCTCTTGAATTTCATTCAAACTTTCAACAGGAGGATCAATCAAAATCTCTACAAAGTCAACAAGAGCAACCTGAATATTCAATTCACACATCTTCGTCAAGGGTATCTATACCTAAACTTGATTTGGTAAAGCAATTGGATGTGTTTGTTTCTCATTCCACTATAACACATATGTGAAATATGAGTTGGATCATTATCTCAAGGAATCTCTTTTACCTAGGAATGATGATGATGATTTCGATATATTGTGTTGGTGGAAATCAAATGCGATCAAATATCCTACTTTGCATGATATTGCTAGCGATATTTTGGTCATTTCTGTATCTATGGTTTCTTCAGAGTCTTGCTTTAGTACAAGTGGAAGGATTATAAGTCCACACACTACAACTGACTTCATTAAAAAACAATGGAGGCATTGATGTGTGCTTGTGATTTGTTATGGAGTGCAATTTAAGTAAAGGTTTTTTTATTAGTATTTGCTTATTATTATTTTTTGTTATATGGTTAGCTTCAAGCTCTAATGATAAGCTAAAAAATCACTATTCAAGATGAAAAGGTTGATAACAATGAGGAAGAGGTAACATTCTCATATTAATCGCTCTTTTTTAATGGCTTTCTCTTATTTAATCATTAGCTTCTAATTATCTTTTAAAAAAATTAATATATTTCTTTTATGTTTTCTTTTTTGTTAGGAGTCTACTATTGAAACATAGAACATGTCTTTGTTTTTCGATTGAAGCTAAGAATAAAGAAGCACATGAGTCTGGGTGATTTCATTTTATGAAAGTGTAGTTTGTTTTTCATATTTATTTATGATTGGTTTTCTAGTTGTAGACTTGGATGTGTTTGTGCTTACTTTAAACTATGTTGTGGAATCATTTGTTTTTATGAGATTGGGATGAACTTTTTGTTGTTTCTCTTTTGATGATGAATGAGTTGGATTATAAACTTTGTTGGATGGTGAAGCTTTTGACTTTTTATTATTATATGATTTTATTAGTCTTGTCAAACTACATTGGTATGATTTTGAGTAGTTGAGTGAAATTTTATAGTTTAATTGATTTTAATTGTGTTGAATGATAGTTTAAGGTGAAATTGAAGTATAATATGGATTGTTTAAATTTTTTTATATAAAAAAATTTCGGGTATTTCGGGCATGGTTTAGGACTTAATCCCCTTATGGGGACGGGGATTCCCCGAAAATGAAAAACCGAGGATGAGGCCAGGGATGGGGATGGTATTGTCATACCCAGCCCCTAACTGGCCCGTTGCCATTCCTAATGCCTAACCTCTCATTCCCATGAACACCATGCCCAACTGCATCACTGTCCCCAAGTGATTCACTCTTCCTCAGTGTTTCTCTCTCCATCGCATAACATCCAATGCATAAAAATATAAAATTAAGTAGGACAAAATGTATATCAATATCAAAATTCCCTTCATACCTACTATACTGCCTATCACTTCACACTTTCCCTCTTAGTCATGGGAGTATGTAGCTCAATACCTATGAAACAAAAATGCGATCTCTAAAGAACAACTTGGGATTTTGATATTTAATTTGCATAACTACTTAAATTTACTCAAAGAAAAATTCACATGTTGTGACATTGGCTACAACCACACCAACATCATTTACTATGATCAACTTAAAATGATCATAAATCAATAATATGTGAAAATTGAGAAGATGTCCTCTACTTATTTGTGCTAAATAAGAAAAAGATTGATTAGTTGAGAAGCTTTGGTACCATATCGTGAAGTTAGAGATCATCATTTGGCTCGTAGCTCATGAGACAAAGATGGAGATTGATTTTTTTTTAATTTTAAAATGTTTATAATTTTTAATAATTTTTTTTGTATAATTTGATGGCTCATCTACTACTATGTCAATGGTTAACAAACTTCTTCACAAAGAGACTAATGAATACATGAAATTGGTAGAAAAATCATACTTCGAGTATAAAGTTGACAAAAAAACAACAACAAAAAAACATTTGCGTAGTAAAGGTTGAAACTTGGTAAACTTTTGGAGTAGTAGAAAACTTTAAATATTTTCATTATTAAAATTACTGTTATCGTATTTAAGTATATAAGGAAAATATTTTTTTAAGCATGAAACTAATAGCCATTTTAAAGTAAACTTTTCCATTTGCTAAACTATAATTAAAAAATAACTAGATAACCAATCTCTTCAATTTCATTCAAGCCACCACTCCCCTCTTTCTCTCTTCCTCTCAAACAAACATACAACACACAATTTATCTAATTTGTCTTTAAAAGAAAATTAAATAGTTTTCTTGGATTATTATAGAAATCAAACAATTTGAACTATTTATGAACTTGGGTATTCGATTTAAAGTGCTTACAATAAGTACATTCAATATGGGCAAGGACGTATTCACTCTTAGACTAAGTTTTTGGAAACAATTTGGTGGTAATTTTTAGGAAATTCATCTTACCAAGTGAAAATTAGCCTACCTCACCCTTGCAAAATTGGTCCACTACAACTAAACAACTCCTTATACAAGTTATACATAATAAAAGAAAATATAGCCAGTCCTGTATAAATTTCTAACTCCGCCCTTGAATATGAGTTTGTCACAATTGCCCAAATAATGTTAGCTTTCTAACTAAATGAAGTGTTCTTACATTGAAAATTAATGAAGACACTCAAAGGCTTGTTATAAGAGTCGCATCCATACCACTACTAAGGTTTCAAGGTCTGCATAATACCTCCTCCAAGACATTATAGCTTAGTTTTCCCTAGAGTACTCATTATCACAATGTGCATTTTTTAAGGTGAAAGGAGAAGTAAACAAAGAGAAAATAATGGAATTAAGGACCACTTGAAATTTGTATTGAAGCTATTTATTAAACTTTAGATAGGTTAACCTGAAAGCTCAAAGGGAATTTCCTTGAAAGTTTGAAGTTAGGCTGAGGCTATCAATTGACATTTACTCAAGCCAAATCTTCTCCATGTACTGTAACATATTCATCCATTCACATGTCAAATCTAATCTTCATTTGGCATATTTCATTATCAATAACCCAATCTATCAAATTTGAGTTATCTCATAATAAAAATAAACTAATCAGTAATGATGCAAATACCAACTAGTCCACCAATATTTTGATATACTAATTTATGTGCCACATGACATGGCAGTGTATGTCTTTTGCCACATAATTTATTTTTATCTCATTATCAATAGTTCTAAATTATCAAAATTGAATTATCTCACAATAACGAATAAGCCAATTATTATTATTATTATTATTAAAAGGAAGATAAATGCCATTAATATCCCAAGAACAATACAAAGGAAATGGCATGTTAACAATGCCCTCATTAAAACCTTCTGAGGAAACCCTGAGCAAGGAAAGAGTACTACACATGCACTAGACTAACAAAAGAGTCCAGACAAAAGCACAAACACAGAATAATCACCTCTGAAACAACTCTACCATACCAACACACATAAACTAAGAGAAACTTATCGAAAGAGTACACCAACGCCTCCCAAGTTTTGTCAAAGAAGGCATCCTATGTAAACATAGTCCTTTGTACATCGCGAGATTTGTCCAACATGCAATGAGTCATAACCAATGGAGCACCAAACGAACAAACCACATGAACAAAACACAAATAACAAACTGAAGCTAAGAGAAGCCCATCGAAAGAGCACACCATCGCCTCTCAAGTTCTGTCAAAGAAGGCCTCCTATGTAAATATAGTATTTTGTACAACGCAAGAATTGTTTAGCATGAAATGGGCCTAACCAATGAAACACAAAAACGAACAAACCACATAAGCAACACAAAGTAAATAAGAGCTACCATGGAACATCAAAAGCCATCTCCTAGTTTCTTGATCCAGAACCCCAATTGACAAGGAGAGACCAAGATTGGCCCCTTAGCCTGAAGAAATTTCATATGAAAGATATTCAGAGTAGGAACATTCATCGGTTGCCAAGCCCATGAACATTGCCAAATCAATTGTTAAACCTCATTTAAAATGATAAGAATATCTTTTAATAAGAAAACAATTCATTAATACCAAAATTGTCACACATTCACACCACAATTAATACAAAATTAACTAATACGAAAATTTTACATATAGGTGAGAGCTAATAAACATGCAAACAATTGTCAACTAACAGTTATTAATGTTCATGAACTCCACAATATAGATTCTCATTATATATATCAACCTTTGATATTCGCTCAAGCACAACACTACGCGCGAAATTTGTCTACGTACCACATGCATGAATGCTATGTGTAACATTTACTCGTGCACAACGTATCAACAATTGATAGTTGCTTATGCTAAAAATGGTTTGGGTTATTTTATTAGGCAGGTTTTGACAATGGACCTTCCGCAAGTTTACCTTGTTACGAGTTCTCCTTTCTCTTAATGTTAAAGTTTAGTTGACTTCTCCCAACATCGTAGGCAACGAATCAACCACGTTGCTGTGATTTGAACACTGCATCTATATGCTAATAGTGATGAGAGGTAGAAGTCTTTATATATGTATTGATTAACATATAAAATATAGTCGGTAAAAGGATTTGGACAATGATGGGTGAACTTAGAGCTCGCTTTGTCACCAGTGGTAGGAGAATAAATATCAAAGTAGAGAGAGTTACAAATTTGCAAGACTAGCAACAGAGACTAAGATAGTTGAATATCATCACCAACTTGACCTAATAAAAAAAAGGCACGTGGGAAAAGACCTAGAAGATTGAAGTTAGAAGTTAGAAGTTAGGCTAAGCAAGCATAGGCTAAAAGCCCCATGGGGCTAATATTGTATTGACTGATTTGGTCCACCAAAGGTGTACTCTTGGTACTAAAAGACAGGTGGTGGTGTTTGGTTGTGGTTGTTGTTTGTCCATTTACATCTTGTACTACATTCACACTTACTTTTATTATTATTATTATTATTATTTCTTTCTCTGCATTAATTAAATAATTAATTGGTTTGAATTCTTATTTTTCAATATTAATTTGTGAAAGATTAGAGATTTAAACGAGAAAAGGGTGTTTCACGCGGATGATGGTGTGTGGATGTTGGTGAGCCACCTTCTCTGCCAGCTGGCTGTCGGGGAGAGGTCCCCAGATCCCCCCCTCGCTCTGCACGTGACTTACCACCTCACACACACACACACTCTCTCTCTCTCTAAAACCCCATCGCTTTCCTCTCTCTCTCGCTCTCTCGCTCTCTCGCTCGCTCTCGTTCATTTCTTCCTCGTTTGCATCACGCACTCGTACTCTCTCTCTCTCTCTTTCTCTCTCTATATATATAGCGCGGAGAGGTTTCTCTACCATATTTCATCTCTCTCACATCACTCTCTGTCGTCCTCTCTCTCTATGTATACGTCTATATAGATACACAAATTTGGTTGTATCTCTCTGGGAATCTGCGAGGGTTTGACGTAGGGGATGAGGCTTTAGATGAGGAAGAATTGAGATTCAAATGTTATTGCAACAAAAAGGGGATTGGAATTCAAATGCTTGGATCTGCTGGTGGTAAATTTTTGCTTTGTTTTAAATTTTGTTGTAATTTTTCTTGTTTTTATTGATCCTGCATTGGTTTTATGAAAATGGTTAATTTAAGTGTATGTGCGATGTGGAATTGAGTTTTCTTGGATTAGTGGGAGCTTGATTTAGATTTGCATAGAAATGTAGGACTCAAGTGTAACTGTATTGGCGATTTGAAGTGACTAAGGAGGAGCATTGTGTAATTAGCTATTTCTGAAGTGGTCTAATGCGTAAACTTACCTCTTCATGTGATATGAATTTGGAGCAGGTGGTAGACTAAGCTTGAGATTGTAGGTTCTTTATCTTTTCTTTTTGGGGAGGGATGTTGGTTGAAGTTTGTGGATATGGTGGTGATCAGAAAGGTCTTTACTTAATAGTGAGTGGTGCTGACAAAAAACAATCTAAGTGTTTGTGTGCTGAGGTTTTGTGGGTTGGGATGTAAGAAGAAAACTGTTTTTGAGGAGGCAGTTATAAGGTTGGCTTTGCGAGCATGACATGGGTTTCTCGTGATATTTTTGTCTCTCAGTATGCACTTGTTTGGTGGCAATGGGCAGGACATGAGGCATAGAAAAAGGAAAAAAGCATCGTTATGCTATGAATGTCTACAACTGAGGGGATTATCTTTTGCTATTGATACATGAATGAGGTTTCAGTTGCACTCTAGTGTATTACTTTCAAGTGGGTGTGACTTAATAAAGTGTTTAGTGATGCATATTGCTTTCAGTTTCATTGATGCTTAACCCTAGAATGTGTGTTTGACCAAAGAAAATAAAAACCCTAGAAGGTATGTTTGGAATCTGCTATTGGTTGGTTATTTTCACTCGTGTATTCCTCAAGAGTCGGGTTCACTTTGGTACTTCCCATATTTGCTAAAATATTAGGTGATAGAATAGTTAGTTGAATAGGAAATTATAAAACTGGAGTTTCCCGTTTGGCTGGTTGTCATATTGGATGTCCATAAATAGTGTAAAGAAGCATGGAAACTTAAAAATAAAATGAAAACCCCATGATACACTGCCTATTTAAGGCAAATTTGCCAATTTAAAATGAAAACCCCATTATAGCTCATCAGCTTTCTACTATATTTCCATGTTATCTCATTCCATTAGCTCCCCCAACTGTCAACACTTCTCTCATGTAAACAAGTTTTCCAAATTTTTTTAATCTCTGATGTTTTCGAGGTGTGTGAGCAGCAAGGACATATAAATAAGAGTACATATAGAGGACAGAACAATGTCATTCTAACAGCCAGGTATCATTTAAATTGTACTATGACCATCTATAGGAAGGTAAATTACATATCCTTTGAACTTGTTTGAAATAAAGTACATTACACATTTCCTTATCAAGTTCCAATGAAAGACAGGATATGAAGCTCAAAAAAAGAAAACAAGAACGCAAAACAGATAATATTATAAGAAGAATGTTTTGTAACATGTAAAGTCTTATGCCTGACACAAAGGTCCTTTTCTCCTCAAATACATTACTCTTTTCCTTTATTTGTTGTTTTAATTAACAAATGTATAATCATTAATTCATAAAGAAAGCCATTATTTCTTTGGTGATCGATGGAGTAATACAAATATCATGAGACATAATTTAGAGAAAGCTGTCTAGTTGTTTTGTTTCGCATTTTTCTTTTAAAAAGTGATATCAAGCAGTTTAATTTCAAAGAGATGTCTAATATCTTTGTTAATTCACCAACTATATTTATAAGGAGGGCAAGACTGAACAATGGGTTTGAAGATTACTTATCCTTTGTTATGTGTTGTTCCCTTTTACTTTTACCATACCATATTCAGGGCAATATATTTTTCCTTTAAAGGGTTTGCACTTTTACATACTTTTGACAAACTCTTACTTCAACAGGATTTCTTGGTTATTCTGCTCTACTTTGGTGTTATTTTCAGAAGACTGTCCTGCCTTTCTATAGTGGTCAATGATATTCCCCTTCTAAATTTTCTTTTCTCGGATGTCAAATTTTGACCTTTTGTCTATTTTTCAGGTCTTATGGCCTCCAGCCTGAAGAAATCGGTGGAATTGTGTTTTGTAAGGAATGCTGTTAGGTTGAAGACATCTTTTATGGGGTAAGAAGTGGGGGAGAAATGGTTTTGAATTTCAGATATTTAAATACATGGAGGAGACACGAGATGATGCAGGGCCAGCAGAGCAAGGGCCTCCAAATGCTTCATGGTGGCCTTCAGATTTCGTGGACAAATTTGGATCTGTTTCTTTGGGTTCCCATGAAGAAACCTTGAGTAATACTGAATCACCTAGAAGTCCGTACCAAGATGTGTTGTCATCTCAGACAGCATCACAAGTTCTATGGCAAACTGGAATGCTTTTAGAACCGATTCCCAATGGTTTCTATTCTGTCATTCCGGTGAGAATTAATTGTTGGTGGTACTTAGTTGTTATTTTCTTAGTGTTGATAATTAATAGCTGTTGTTACTGTTGCTTCCTGTCACATCTTGCCTGATTATGGTTGGAACCTGTGTGTCTAAGAGATGAATGTCGCTGTAAAGAAAATGGGGCACCCTTGTTTTTCTTTCCTTCTTTAAACAATTTTGAGAAAACAGTCTGATTGTTTCTTTTTTTCACTATCCTAAAAACGATAAACACCTATTGTGGATCACTTGCCTGTTCAAAGAATAGATGTACAAATGCAGATAACTGAAGCATTGTTTAAATTATTATTGTCTTTGCTTATATTTTTTCTTTTTACCTGTCTATGAGTGATACTTCATCGTGTCAATTGAATAAATCTGACAATATACAGGATAAAAGGCTCAAGGAGATCTTTGATGATATTCCTACTCTTGATGAACTTCATGCAATTGAGGCAGAGGGTGTGAAAGCTGATGTCATTCTTGTAGATACTTCAAAAGACAAAAAGTTGTCCATGCTGAAGCAACTGATTGTGGCACTAGTGAAAGGATTGAACTCAAATCCAGCTGCAATGATAAAAAAGATTGCTGGACTGGTGAGAAATTTACTTGTTTTTCTAGATGTACTTTGAAGTTACCTTGGGTGCACTTATTTTTTCTGTTTGCTTCTTTGATGCCTTTCGTCTAATGTTTTCAACTGTCAAAGACTGCCACTTACAATGTTGTACTATTCATGTTTCTGTGATCATAACCAAGATGAGTCATGAGCATGATGCCATGTAGATCTGTTACCTGATTCTGGTCCGATGCTTTAATACATGTTTAAATTATTATTATTAAGAGATGATTTAACTTCGACTGCAATGCCTATACAGGTTTCAGATTTTTATAAGCGGCCGCCTGTGGAAAGTCCAGCAAAAGCTGCACTAGAAGAAACCTCCCACATGTTTGATAATCGAGGAGTCCAACTTTTGGGGCAAATAAAGCATGGTTCATGCCGTCCTAGAGCAATCCTGTTCAAAGTTCTAGCAGATACCGTAGGTCTTGAAAGTAGGCTAGTGGTGGTAAGCTTTTCGTTTCCATGGACATTGTACGATTTCCAGCAAAAGAATAAGGAAATTGTCAAAGACATGTTATAAGTTATTACTCCTTAATCACACATAGCACTGAAATTTGAAAGGCTGTCTCTTTTCCTCCTTTTTTTTTCTTTTCTATCAGGGTCTTTCTATTGATGGGGCTGTTGAGTGTGTAGATTCATATAAGCATATGTCTGTGATAGTTGTGTTGAACTCTGTTGAACTATTGGTCGACCTAATGCGGATCCCCGGCAAGCTGTTACCCCGATCAACCAAGGCAATCTTTATGACCCATATTTCTGCAGCAGGGGAGAGTGATTCTGCAGAAAATGATTCCTGTGATTCACCACTAGAACCAAACAGTCCCCTATATGGATTTTCAGAGAGAACGGATCCTGACAGGTTAGCTGATGGGGTTTGTAAATCCTAAATGTTTATTGAACTTGGAAATTTGGAACCTGTGATGCTTCATGTTCTTGTTGTAAGCATGCATTACAAAGAAAACTGAGTTAATTTAAATTTCTTCTGTTGCAGTGCTGAAAGAGATGAGAGCCTTCAGTTCCGAGGGAGATTTGATGTGCCCTCGAATGCACAAGGTCCTTCATTGCGAAATATGATGTTGCGACCTATCACTTCCATTGAAAGAAAACTGAGGTAATTTATATTTCCTGTCTTGACAAGTTCAACTGTAATTCTTGAATGACTTGTTATGACCTTCCCATTCTGTATGCTTTTTTTATTATTATAATTATTCTTCTCATTAACTTCATCCTATTATTGGGCATTTTCTGGATTTTTTGAAAGTTCAGGAGACTCTGAGTTATTTGTTGTTGAATAACTTTTTGAATCCATCAGTTTATCACATAGTGAACCCAACATTGCAACTTCATTTTGGCGCCGTAGTCGAAGAAAGGCCATTGCTGAACAGCGGACTGCTAGTTCAAGGTTCTTCTTAATCCCAACGTGTTTTGTAATAATGTCTTTCAGATTCAGTTTTGTTTGTTTTGAAGATTCAGAACTCCCTATTGTTCATGATTATAGATCATGTTTTGGTGTGCGTCTAGAATCGTAGTACCTCCAGTTTTACTTTTGAATAGACTTTGATTTTTTTTTTCCACTGCATGGTTTGGTGACAATTGGTCTAGTAGGAACTTGATTCTACTGAGTTGTTTTTGTGCGCACATCTAATTTTTTGAGAGCTTGATATCGGAGGAGCTTTGTTCAAAATGTAGTTCTAACTTTTATTTAATTGCTTGAATGTGTATGACCAAGTTTTAAGACTATATGGGTTTATCTGTTGATGGTGAATTGAGTGGTTGCTTGTTATACTAACCTATCCTTAGTTTACATTGTGAGGTTATAGGCTTCAAAGATATATGGTATGTGGTGTTAAAGGATCAGTTCCTCTTTCTTTTAATTTTTCTTCCTTTTTCAGTGGCTTATGTTTCTACATCTCTCTATGGTGGCTATGGAGACCAAATTTTGTGCCTCTGTTTTATCCTGATTGCTTTTCAATCCCAAGGGAGAGATGGCTTTCTTACATACTTCAGTTTAGGTTGGATAATGGGATTAAGTTTGTTTTACAGTTTTATTTTCATTTGAAAATGATACTACTGAAGAAGTGTCTTGTGGGAGGGATGGGAAAAAATTGAAATTATACAAGCTAGTTTGACAATAAGCTCAACCTGGTTCTCCAGGAATTCTGCTGTAGAGTTTCTGTATGTATTAAATAAAGTGCAGTGATAAAATTTTGTTCCTGCTGCTCGGTTTTCTTTTTCTGAAGATAACAAAGTTTTGCAGGTTTAACCTCTATCTATCTATCTATCTCTCCCTCTCAAAAATTTGTCCTGTCGTTAGCAGAAATTATATGGTTTGCACCTCTCAAGAGTATTTCAGGGCTTTTTTGGTCTGGTCTCTTCTTTACAGATGGCTTATTGTAAGAACGTGGAATAATGTTCGTAAATTGCTTCTTAATGGTATTAAATTTGTAAAAATGTTCAAGGTAATTTGACCTGGAGCTAGATATTGATTTTTCAAATTACTTATGCCAAATGGAGTGTTTGTGTGTGTGCATGTCCGGCATGCTTCTGGGCTTGTTCCTCTGGATACATGACAATAATACTAACCACTAAAAAAGAATGCTGTGTGTACCAATTTCTCTGTGATATTTTGATCCAAACCATGATATGTTTAGAGGAAAAGGATAGGCAAAATTTGACCCTGATATGCCCTAACATCTGAATAACTTTGATAATTTAGTTTTTCTTGGGTATGGTTGCTGAATTGTATTCTCAACCTGTTTGTATTTTTTTTAATCATTCATTGTTCAACACTATTAGTTAGTGGACAGGTGAGTAAATGCAGATTCAGTATCTTATTATGGTTATAAATGAATGCTGCAATAGTGAAAGGATATTTTATTTGGGCTGATGGAAAAGCAGTGACCCTAAAATATAGGTGACTGAATTTGGCATAGTGTTGTGGACGTTGTAAGTAGTAATGACGGGTTTGATGAGATAAACTTTTGTGGTTGCTTCAGGTCAGTTCCTTACTAGGGTTTCTTGAACGGTTAGCTGTATGATTATCCTTTTTCTTATTTTACACTAATCCACTGTCTTAAAGCATGGGATGAGAAAGTTAGTCCAGTATAAAAGTAAGTTTTGTTGGTGGTCACACGATGTGTCCAAATTTATTAGTGACCTAGATTATCGAGGCTGTAAAAGTAAAATTTTGTGACTATAAATTTAAGATTCAATCAATACACATATATATGGTGCCATATTTTCTCTTAATCTCCCAATAATGCCAGTAAGATACTGAGTTCTTGGTGAAGTACATGGTCTATATCAATGGTGACAGTTTCCAATTTTCCATGTATATTGATGCTATTCTTGTGAAAAAAGATTTAGCTTCGTTTTCTTTTGCCATATAAATAACATGCCTGCTTATAGAAATGCTTGCACTTTTTCCTCAAACTTCAATTTTCTGCTCAGATGTATATTTTTTTTCGTTTATCTGGTCTCCATGATTTGCCATGATTTTGTGTTTAATTTGCTGGGTAGGATGTCTAAAGTTGGTCCAGAATCGCTTTTTACTCTTTAAGTCGTGTCGTTGCATATAGTTGTCATTGTAGTTATTTCTTTTTATCTTTTTTGGTTTTTCAGTCCAGAGCATCCTTCATTTCGAGCACGTGGGCGGTCCATGCTCAGTGGTGATAGGAAATCTTTTAGAGATTATGCTGATGACATGCCTACCTCAAGGTTTTATATCTATTGATCCTATTGTACCCCACTATATGAAAACTGAATCTTTGATGAATGCTTTAGTGAATTATCCACAATTTTCTTGTGTACTGAGGCAATGGATATTAATTCAGGTCTTATTCCTTAACCAACGAACAGTATTCAGGACCTCAATATTTTCGTGTTTACAAGATTGGGAATGGAGTTGTATCCTGGGAATGACAATGCCCAGGGCAATTTTATGTGGTTTTTGACCATGTTCGCTTAACTGACATGACATAATCACTAAATCAAACCAAGCTTGGGGCCCAAAAACTATCCCTTGTTCATTCAGTTTGCCAGAGAAAGACCGGGAGAATGCAAAATTGATCCCTCCGTGACTTGAGGGTTTCAGCTCCATGCAGATGAAAAGTGAAAAACATTGGAATGGACTTCATTCTATCAACATGCATTAGCTATATTTTCTGTGTTATCTTGTTAAAATGTTATTATATTCCACTTATTGTCTCTTCTACTCAATACCATTAAACTTTAATCTTCATCAACCATACTTAGATCATTTGGAGATAACTAATTGATATAGAAGTATAATGTGCTGAGCTAGTTTCATTCCTAAGAGGTTTGATGTTATGGTCTGATGAAATTTTGTATTTGTGTACTTTTGTGTGTTATTAATTTTGTTTTAGCTTGTATGTGATGTTTCTTTCACAGGTCAATCTACACATCCTTAAAGAAATATATATCTGTGGTCTGAAACTACTTGTCTTCAATTCTTTATTGTAGCTACAGGTCAGATGGTACATCAACATCAGAAGCTCGTAGATTAAGAAGAAGAAGCATTAGTATTACTCCAGAGATTGGTGATGATATCGTAAGGTTGATGTTTATTTCATTATTTTCAAGAGAAATGTTTGCTTCATTATTGTTAATTTCACAGCATTACTCCATTGTGGTTAAACTGATGTTTTCCTCCATGTACTTTTGCATTCATTCATTCTTATTGGTTACTTTTAAAAGAAAAAATTGTGCTTAAAACTCTCTTTGAATTTTTTGTTCTTTGCACCTTCCATTTGATTTTGATTGTTTGGGTCAATGTCTTTACAGTGCATGTTCTTATATTAGAGGTAAGTATTTGTTGAAAGTATCTGAAAGTTATATCAGAAAGAGGTCCCAGGATTCAATGAAATTGTAATAGGAGGACAAAAGCAAAAGAATAATCTCAGCTTCATTAATTGACTGGTAAAATGGGCATTGATCTCTGATAATCTGAAGTGCTTTGCTATCATAGTTTGCTCATGTGAGGAGCCATGGTGATGCGGACATCATTAGTTAGTTTCCTAGATTCTCTAGTTTTCCAGATTTCACTAGGATTTTAGTTTCCAGATTCTAGTAGGATTTGATTTAAGTTTCCTAGTTTATTTGAATTAGTTCCTTGGTGGATTAGGATTTCTGTTTTAGTAAGGGATTTTTATCCTATTGTCTCTAGGTTTTAGTTTGCTATAAATACCCTACCCTCCATGTAGTTCTTTAGAGTGGAGTTGTTGAGATATAAAGAAAAGTTTATTTTCCCGAGATTGGAGACTTCTTTGGTGTGAAGCCAAACCCCTTGGTGCGAAGCCAAAACCCTGGAGTGATTCCAGACCTATCCTTGTTCCTTCTATATTCTGTTTTCCATTGTTTTCGCTTCCGCTAAACTACCTAAATCTACAATTCACCCTTGCCCTACATCACTTGGGAAATTGCCATGAGGCAAATGATGTGGTTCATTTTTATTCCCTGAAGAAAAATATCTCATTTTATAGTTCATACTTCCTCATCTAGCATATTATATCACTTAGTGTTAGTGGATTCATCTCTAGGAGCATGTGCAGCCATGGGAATCAATCTGTCAAGAATATATAGTTTTCTAATACAAAAGATTGTGTCACAGAGCCTTGTAGGCTTAAGAGCTTTTGACCTTTGTGGTGAGGATGGTTTTAAGTTTTCTGAGTGGTATCAAATTATATCTTGTCCTGCGATATAAAGACAGACTGGGGCGGGGGGAAGGGGGTGTCTGTAGTACTCTTGACAGAAATGGATTGAATATGGTTAGTAAGAGGGATTGACAATTATCTAACATGGATTAACTAAAAGAAATTTTGGGATAATGATGCAAAATTTAGAGTACCTAGAGCTAAATGTTAGCAAATCAATTGCAGCACCACAGCAAGCATGCCTACTTTTTCTTCACTATAACTTGTTTTACGTGTACTCTTTAGGGTGATCCATCTTCATGGTCTGGTATTTTGTACTAAGTGGTGCTTGTTTTTCTCTGGTTAGTTAGGTTTTTTATTTTTTGGTCGAAATCATATTGTTAGTTAGGTTTAGTATGACTTTGCTTGTAGTTTGAACTTCCATTCCCATTTATACATTATTTTTCTCTTTCTACAAAATTCTCATTTCCTATCAAAAGAATTTTTTTTTAGATCATCAAGGTTATTTACAAAACCTTGAAATCTATCATGAAGATTATTTACAAAACCTTGAAGTGATACGATTCCAAAACTAGTACACTTATGTGCTGCTTAACCAATATGGACTAGTCAGTGGCCAAATTTCATTCTTAAGCCAAGTTCCTTGTAAACCTGATATCTAGCCAATTTGGCCTCTAGTGTATGTGTTCACATGGAGACATTCATAAGCTCTGGATAGAGAATTATGCCAGAATCCGATGGATATTTTCAAACCAGTACAACCCTTGGACCATATTAGTTAGGCTAGTTTGCACTTGTTTGTATTTTCAGTTTTTCACTTGGGTTAATTGTTGAACTAAAAAGAATATTGTTTGAATGGTGAGTTGACTACAGTTCGCTGGGACTGTTGAGGTTTCTGTACACTTGGTATATGATGTGCTAATCTTTTTTTCTTTCTTAAGGCTTATGTTTTCTTGATTCTTTTTAAGTTTTATTTTATCAGATCTTTGGATATGTTTCTATAATCAGTAACTGGAGATCTATTGAACTATATTAGGGCTGTACGAGCAATGAATGAAACATTGAAGCAAAATCGTCTTTTGAGAGAGCAGGGTGATGATGACAGAAACATTGCTTCTGGTCTTCAGAAAAATGTACGTGTTTTTATTGCAGTAGTGGAACCATGTCTGCATGAAATAAATGTTTGTTAATTTGTTTGTTAGTTTTGTTTCTGTAGCATCTTTACTATGCTTTTAGGTAGCTTAAAATTCTGTATATACATAGTCATTGTGAAACACTGTAATTTTGGAATTCTATTCTCACACGCACGCGCACACGCACACACACACACACATATTTTTCAAGTCTTCATTCATAGATCATCCTTGTAAAAAATTAGCCAAATCGAAAACAATGAAGAGATGATCTTTGAAGGAATACCTATAAAATAGACTGTTCAGATCATTGAATTTCAATGTAGATGTCCGGACGTTATTACCGTGCGGACGCCATTGTAAACAAGGAGGAAAGCAAGGAGGAGTTGTAGGAATACCTATAAAATAGACAGTTTAGATCATTGAATTTCAATGCAGACGTCCAGATGTTATTACCGTGCGGACGCCATGTATTTTCTACTACTCCCTGCTTTCCTCCCTGTTTACAATGGTGTCCACATAGGAGAAGAATATATACATATTAGAATGACAGCTTGTTTCTCAGTCATTAGATGCTTGGCATTTTTGACTGAGTTTGATCTTGCATCCAACAAATTCAGTTGCAGTGTCTTGCATTGTGATCCCCTCTACTCATACGTAACCTACTTGTGAACTTTTACATTACCTCCACATCCAGTGCACAAATACTCCTGGATGTTTATCTCATTAGTGTATATAATAACCCCTTTTGTGATTAGTGTTCTAGTCTCGTTTCCCTGTCTACTGTTGGTTATTAAACTAATGAATGTTTCTTAAAGCCTAAAGGGAACAAAATTAATACATGCCTGATCAACCTTACGGGGAAACATGCTTGCAATTTATAACAGGTGTAACATTAATTCAATGCGAACTTGGTGATGGGATAAGAAAAAAAATTGATAATGAATATAAACCAGAGAAAATATGAAATGGACTGTTACTGAAAATAAGAAATATCTGACTAACAACTTTGATTGACTGCCCTCCCAACCCTAGGAGAATGTGAGAATTACATACGATAGGCAACAAAAATTAATTAAATTCCACTATTACAAGATAATTCTAATTTTCATTCTAAAATTGCCATTTTCATTGATCTTGTTTCATTAAATTCCACTATGCAGGTTGGATAGATGATTTTCGCTCATCAGATATTAACAATTTTGTGCTTATTTTGTGTTTTGTGTTTTTTGTTTTTTGTTTTTCAATTGTCCTTGTACTCTTTAAGAGATTTAGGAAGAGTCATTAGAACATTGTTAGTTTTTATTTAAGAAACTTATTATGAAGCTTACAATGTCAGCTTATGATTGAAGACTGCTTTATGTTTGTTTCCCCAGGACCAAATCAGTTCTCAAAAAGCAATATCGTTACCTTCATCACCACATCAATATAGGAGTCAAACGTCTGAGAGAATTGGACCTTCTGAATTCACGAGAAATGATGAATTGGTCTTAACATGGAACAGATTCTTGAGTCCGCCACGTCTGGTAATAGACCTCTATTGCCTTATCAGGAATGGAATATTGATTTCTCAGAATTGACTGTTGGAACTCGTGTTGGAATTGGTAAGAATCACTTCTATATCGTACATAGAATACTTCACTATCACTATATTGTTGGCTTGAGAAGTGTGAACCAGGTTAGTAAAGAGATTAAGTATTTATTCCTAATGTGGACAATTAGGAGAATAAGTTAGGAGAATACAAGATAGGTCTGACAAAAAGTAATAGTTCTGGTCCTCTTCTAGAGTTTTGTATGCCCCTTTAGACCAATGGTAATTGCCTGAGAACGCCTCTGAAACTTCAGGCTGGTTTTTTACATGCCACATGTCCATTTTATCCTTGAGATGCATAAGGTTTTGTGATCAAAACTCCCACCAGAAAAAAAAATTTGAATATACAAAGAAGCTCCACTTTTTTTAGGAAAAGAGTAAATTTTCAGTTATAAATTTTTTTTTAAAATAACAGTTTTAACTGATTGTGCTAATTTTGGTTGTTCATTCCATATTTAGGGTTCTTTGGAGAAGTCTTTCGAGGTGTTTGGAATGGAACAGATGTTGCAATAAAGGTTTTCTTAGAGCAAGATCTAACTACTGAAAACATGGAAGACTTCTGCAATGAGATATCCATTCTTAGGTAATTTCTCAAAGATACCTTGATTTTTGTATTGTGTTTACGGCACTTTGCTGCAAGTTTTTATTTTAATTTTTTAATTTTTTAATTTGATTGATGATATAATTTTCTAATGTGCTTTTTTTTTCATTTTCTTTTGTATGTGGGTTTCCAGCCGTCTTCGGCATCCAAATGGTACTTTATGTTCTAGTTATTTATGCATTCCATTTTCATTTATCTATGATTGTTGTATAAGATGGTCATATAGTAGATATTAGATCCACACTGATACAAAATTGCCGTTGTCTGCAGTTATTTTATTTCTAGGTGCATGCACAAAGCCTCCACACTTATCAATGGTTACAGAATACATGGAGATGGGATCCTTGTATTATTTGATTCATTTAAGTGGCCAGAAGAAGAAGCTTACCTGGCGAAGGAGACTGAAAATGTTGCGTGACATAAGCAGGTCTGTTCACTCTGCCTATGGATATTTATGCAAACCATTTGGCTTCTACTAATATGCATTCTGTTCCAAGAATACTCCTAAAATCCAGTTAATTTCACACCTTTATAGGGCATAAATTTATCTGAGTTATTTTTGGCTGCATGGAAGAATTTATTATGGATCTTTTAAGATTGCAATAGCACAAAGCTTTCAATGTATTGTGATCAACATGTACCAGTCATTTGCAATAAATTCCATATAACTACTATGACACCGTCCATGCTACATTCAAAGTGCTGGTTATGTGAAATGCACGCTTGGAAGTTAGTAGTACCAAATATACCGAAATTGAAAATGAGACAATGACGTAGATGAGCAGTTGAATGGAAGTTATTATGGTCATGTGCCGTGAAACCCAGCTGTTAATGCATGATGGGGGCCTAACTTGGTGCAGTGTGTCTGTTTGAAAGTGGGATCATGGTGATTACTGGTTGGTTAGGGGAAAATGTAAGAGCTTTAAGTAAATGGTTAGAAGAGATTAGAAATAAGATTTATGTACCTAACCTAAATGGGTAGCTCAAGGGTTCAGGTTGATTTAGTGCTAACCTTTGTCATTTCTTATAGAAGGTGGATCTATCTATGGTCACTCTCAGGCCTGCCTGTTATTTGTTCTTGACTGCTGTGAATTGAATATCTTTTCAACACACTTTTTTTAGAGGTGACTGTTTGTAGATCTAATATCTGTGTTTATTCTGGAAAGAGGAAAAACATCATTATTATTATCTGAATCTTGAAATCGTTAAAACATAATAATAATAAAATTATCTGAATCTTGAAAAACAAACTGACGTGTGTTTCCACTTATCTTTGGCTTTCAATACCTAAATTCAGACGTACGAGCTGCTAAAAGATGAACAACGTTAGCTCTATATCTTTCTAAGGCACCTAATTGACAGTTTTTTAGTCATTATCTAACATGTTATCAGTCTGATTAAGGTATCAGATGTTGCATTGGCTAATGCTTGAAATGATTCTTTACTTCTCTTTCGGGGGTCTGGAATTTTTTTCTCCAAACGTTTAACAAAGCGGCACAAAAAAATTTGATCTTTTATCATCTCTATTTGAGTGAAACTTCATAGAATTTGAAAAAATCAGAAGATTCTGTATAAGATACTGCCATAGGATGAACTCCAATGATATATTTCAAAGCATGACTAATATTTGCCAAAGAGAATTTGGTGTTTCGTGAGATTTCCATATAATTTAAACATACATCTGTATATATGATCATTATAATTATCCACATGGCTCTTGTACTTTCAAGTGAAAGCATTTGATAAATTTGCTCAATTTATTATTATATTTTTATTTTATGTGAATGGTATAGATAAGTAGTGACTGGAATCTTTTGTTTGCAACTAAAGGGGGTTGATGTGCATGCACCGGATGAAGATAGTTCACCGCGATTTAAAAAGTGCGAATTGTCTCGTGAATAAACATTGGACTGTCAAGATCTGTGATTTTGGGCTCTCAAGAATAATGAACGAGACAAACATGAAGGACTCCTCCTCTGCCGGAACTCCAGAATGGATGGCACCTGAACTTATTCGAAATGAACCCTTTACCGAAAAATGTGATATTTTCAGCCTTGGGGTGATAATGTGGGAGCTCTGCACTCTAAATAGACCGTGGGAAGGTGTTCCACCGGAGAGGGTATACATCATCTGTTTTTATTTTATATGGAACGTTTCATTCTTGTTCTGAATATGTACCTTGTAGAATCCAACCATCTAGCATTTTAAGAAGGCTATAACTGAATTCTTAGCTTTTCTTCTATGCAGGTAGTTTATGCTGTTGCGAATGAGGGTTCCCGATTGGAAATTCCGGATGGTCCACTGGGCAGGCTTATTTCGGGTGAGCAGTTGCTTAAGCTTAATGAAAATGTGAAGACGTTGATACATTTGTCATGATTTTTCATGCATTATCAGCCTTCCGAAGCTTGACACGTTTGCCTTTTGTTTTGGGTTTTATTACAGATTGTTGGACAGAACCGGATGATCGGCCAAGCTGTGAGGAGATACTCTCCCGCTTGTTAGACTGCGAATACTCACTTTGCTGATACAATCTTTGTTTCTTGTGTATAGAAAACATGGTAGAGGTGTTACATTGTATTCTCGGCTTAAGGTTGTATTCTGCTGTCAATTTCTCAATCATTGTAAAATCATAAATTTCGTTTTTTTTTCCTTTTTATGTTCTCCGTTTTGCATCTTCCTCCAATGGTGCTGCGACTCAACTTTTTTGTGCAATCAAAAAACAAATTAGTTTGTTGACAAGCTTGGATTTTGGCTTTTATTCTTGTTACTTCTGTTATCTGCAACCATAAACAGCAGGAAAAACGATGACAAAGGAAAGTATTATTTGATGGAAATTTCAAAATGATAAAGCAGGCATGAACAAGATGTTCAGAACTCTTACATTCCTCTTACAACTTTGTTTTGTTTTAATCACATTAGTTTCATCTTCAGTCAAGGATAGGCCGCCTGTTGAGTGCTTCTTCAAAGCGACGGCACGAATCCACCCTCATCTCTGTACTCATTTCGTTTTCTGGTGCCGGATAGTAATCCTCCCTAAGCTGCACATCCCTCAAGTTGCGGTTCAAGTTTGGAATTCTCACCAGGAACATCATGAAATGCTCATGTGCCGTGCCATGGATGAAAAGCTTCCGCAATGTCAGGCATTCTGACAGCAACCCAGCGGCCGGAAGCCAAAGACTCCTCTGGTTTACATCCCGATCCTGCGGGGGCCAGTAATCGAGCTCACTGAGGCTCAAGCTTTCAATCCCACTCAGGAAGAACCTCTCCCAAAGACTCAGGTCCATCTGCCCCGGGGTGCAGTAAGTGCATAGCCAACTGTATCACCACAATCCAACTTCATCTTGGACAGCAGAGGATAGCCGGCGAGGCAGCTCAACCCAAAATCTCGTTGTGTGGGTCTCTGCCTTCCCCTGCAATCCCCTTCTACCCGGATCCGAATCTCCTCCAGATTGGGACAATCATCGAGACCAGCCGTTGGCAACGGAGTCAGCAGCTCACCAACCCCAATCCAAAGCGAAAGATAATGCAACCTTTCCCAGCTCTCACCACACCAAAACCCATTTCCATTGCCATAGCCATATCCATTGCTTGGTGGCATATAGGAACAGTCCCCATCCAACCCCAACTTGCATTTCTTGCTGCTTCTGTGCTCATACTCAGGCCCCCAATTCAAGTCCATGTAATCACGGTCCTCCCCATTCCGATTCAACACACTGGCTTCACTATTAACATCCTCAGCCTCATCATCATTCACTTGATTGAGATCAAAATTGCGGGCATGCTCATCCTCCTGCTCCCAAACGCAATCAATGTGGAGCCTTTGAATCCGATCACGAATTGGCTCCAAAGCCCGCAAAGAAGCAGCAGCATCCAAGTTTTTGCAACAAGAGATCCCAACATCAACCAGAGTCTTCCTTAACAAGCTAGCCATCGTCCTCAGCCCCTTCACCGTGATTCCCTTACATCCCTGAACCTCAAACTTGACCAATTTGCAGCACCCTCTAGCGATCTCAATCAACCCCATATCCGTCAAATCAGCCGAGTTCTTGATCGACAACGACTCCAGCCCTGAACACAACGCAATGCCGTCTAGCTCGGACCCAATCGCAGAGCAAATCCCATGAAACTGCCCAAGCTTGAGCGCCCTCAGCCTGGGACACTTCGACCCAAGCACTTCCAACGCCAACCCACTGTCTCTCACGTTCTTGCACACATCCAACGCCAGCTCCTCCAACAGCGGAAGCCCCGAGAAGAAATCAACCAAAGCCGCGCGCCCAATCCGCGCGTCCTCCGACGTAAATCCGTCGTCGTTTGGATCGCCGCGGGCGTTGGCCAACGATGACGTATCGATCAAATGGATGACTTTGAGCTCCGGGCAGTTAGCGGAGATCGACAGCAGAGCCTCCTCGCCGACGAAGTCTATGTATCGGGGATCGAACATACACGCGATGAGGAGATGCTGGAGCTTCGGGCAGGCGGTAACGATGGATTTGATCTCGTTCGCTTTGAACCCCTCGGTAAACGACGTAGTCAGGAGATCCAGCTTGGTGAGAGATCGGGCCACGTTCGGGTGGGCCTCGAGGACCGGGGGGAGGTCCTCCGTCCAGTAGTAGAATTCCGACAGGTCCAGCTCGGAGAGTGAGTGGCATTGGTCGAAGAGAGGATCGAAGTCGGCGCCAGGGGGCGATTGTGGCCGTTGATGCCATCGGACAAGCTTGACGCGGCGCAATCCGGGCCACAGATGGGAGACGATCTGGACGGTGGAGGGAGATCGGGAGTAGACGATGAGGGAGTCCACGAATGGGAAGGCGGCACGTAGGCGTTGGGCCAGGAGGAGGGGGTCGGTGTCGTTGGCGGCGGCGGCGGAGGGGGAGAGCAGAGAGTGGCCCCACGGAGAGAGGAGGGAGAGGTCGAGGTGGGTGACGGCGGCGAAGCAGAGCGGGAGGTAGGGGAGGTCGCGCGCGTTTCCCCGGAGTGTGAGGGAGGTGCGCGTGGCCCTCTCCGTGCTCCGGAATTTGCGGCACGCGAGGGAGAGGGAGTTCCGTGTTCGGGTGTCGGATACTATCCCGATTATGGTCGAGAGTATGGCGTCCGGCAAGTCGTTGATTGTTGTGGCGGTGGTCATGGTGGGTTTATGACAAGTCGTTTGATTGTTTAGTGTTGCTCTGTGTGTCTAGAGAGAGAGAGAGAGGAGTGAGATTTTTGGAACTGTGTATGGAACATTGGGGGAGGGAGGAGGAGTTAATGGCTGCTGGTGAGGGGAAGCGTCGTCGTTTAGTGGGGGAGACCCACGTGAATACGATGTATGTTTATGGGTATGAGGCGAGTATACTAGGCGCTGTGGGGAGCGCGTGGGAAGAAGAGTGACTTCCGTGTCCCGTGGGCCATTTTGGGTGTTCTGGATATGGGTTGATGGATGGATGGATGGATGGATGGATGGATGGATGCATGAATGCATAGGGAACATCTATGTATCTTACATAATAAAAATCTACACATACTTTTGATCTGGAGTTTGAGCCTTCATTAAGCTCTCACGTAGCATTGAGTTTGGATAAGGACATATTCACACCTTTAAATCTTCAAAAAATAAAATGAAAAAAGAACACTTTTGCGTAATAGCATTTCTCATCAGTTGGTATCAATAAGTTGATATATTAGTTGATGCCCGTAGCATTATTGAGAAGAGAAAATAATTTCTTAACTTCTTTTTTTCTCTTTCCTTTTTCTTGTAATAGTAGATTTCTAAACCCAAAACCAAATGCACAATTATTGCACTAATGGTAATTTTATTCTTTTTGAGTTGGAATATAACATGTTGTACACACGTCTCTCTTTGTATCTCTCTTATCACATGACTAATCATACGATAGGTAAATTTTTCTTAATTCGTTGGAGCGACAAAATTTCGATGAGATAAAGACACAAAGGGACATACTCTAATATGATTTCTCAAACCGTTAACGGAGACCAACACTTTTGGGCATTAACATAAAATTATATTTGTCTTGGAGGTGAACCCAAGTAGGGTTAAATCATGATAAAATAGATAATGTTAGTTGATGTCTAAATTTGGTTCAATAGCAAGACGACCTTTTTGAGATCGAGGTTGGACAATTCGTCCAGAGCAACTCAACGTGACCAACCAAGTCGTCCTACAGAATCTACAAAATAGAAGACCTAATGGTGGGTGACACCAGTGTGGTGCTGGTTAAGGACCCTTTGATGCTTAAGTCAATCGAGTGTTTGGGAGCAAAGTGCACAATATATTTTGGTGCTTAGAATTGCATACCTTTGAAGACGGGTCTCTTCAACTTTTTATATCATCTTAGACGACCTAGTCCTTCTCATAGTAGAACTCTAGAATAACCTAGTCCTCCTCGAACTAGGACTCCAAAACAACCTAGTCCTCATCGAACTAGGACTCCTTTTAGATAGGCGTCTTGGTGAACTTGAAGTGTCCCAGTTTCTCTAGGATTATAAGTCCTCTTGGAATGGTATTTTTATACTTTAGCCAATTTGGCAGTAGTTTTGTATGGGAAGTTGCATTTTGAATAGTTTGGCCAATTTGGCAATATTAAATTATTAAATAAATTTGTTTTTTTGTAAGTCTTAGTTCGGCACCATGAGTCCCCAAATCTCCATAAAAAAAAGGCTTGACGAAAGGACTTGGACTGTGTCATGGCTATGTCACCTCTTTTTTTCTTTTTTCTTTTTTGTTGAATCACATATTCACGATTGGGCTATGTCATGGCTCTTAATTATTTGAAATTGGGGGCGTCACTTTTTTTGCTTTTCTAATTTTGGTTTAGACGAGAGACGTGACGTTACTCAAGTCGTCGCATGTCTTTTACTCCTTTTGGTCTTTTGTGTTTATGCGGCCTTTTGTAGTTGTGCATAGATTTTCCCTAATGGCCAAAAACAAAAGAGAAAAGCTTATCCATTCTTGTTTTGGTACAAAAAGTTTAACTCGTGAGTTATACATGTGAAGTTTAGGGCAACATAGAAAAATAAAGTTGTTATTATGGCTTTGACCATTATAGCCCTTGGCTCAATTGGTTTATTTATTTATTTATTTTTAATTTTAAAATTAAGAATAAGAAAATGAGTCTAGTCGTGTTCTATAAAATAGAACATATTTTCCATTTTTATTTTTATTTAATATATTATCCTCATTTAATGAATAGTTTCATTTGTTAATATTTTCATTAACTAAGGACATTTTGCGGTAATTTGAATGTTTCACAATATTTTATATTTTCCTTTATATATACAGATAGATAAGTCATACCGTAACCAAAAATAATAATTTAAAAGTCATACTAACAAGAAAAATAATTTAAAAATCGTAAAACTTACGAGAAATTGTCTAAACTTGTTTTGAATCCAAACTCTTAAGTCACATCGCTTAACAATATTAAACTTGTTTAATCTCAAGGAAGAGATCCTTGGATTCTTAGGCTTTTGGTACAACACATAAAATGCCAGACCTAAAGGTAATTAAATTTCACATTTAGGAAAAGTGGTTGTCTTTTCTAAAGGTATTGAAATTCAAGGATATGACATGGGTTGGGTGCATGTTATCTACAACTTCTTTGTACGCTTTGAAGTTGAAATCAATTTGCATCACTCATTTTGACTTATGAGCTAAATTCCAAAAATAAGGTACCAGATAATTCAAACAAATATACAAAATCCTTTGCAAGTTGAAAAGGCTCACCAGTCACGCGTGCTCGCTGTTTTCTTTCTTCTTTTCTTTTTTTTTTATAAAATGTTTTTATTTTTATTTTTTATGATTTGGCTCTCTTTGTAATTTCGATAAATTTTGAAATGTCTATGATGATAATCCAACCGTCAAACAAGCTCCAATTTGACTACTGATTTTTATTGTAGAGGCGATTCTTAAATGAGGATATAAGTTAAATAATTCAAAAAATTAACTCTCATTTAACTTTTAGAAGATTCAAAATGGCTCCGACATCGTGATCTGATCTCTTTTCGAATAAAAAGAGTCTTCTATTTAGTTAAACAAACCCCTTCTCATACGAAAAGAGATATTTAGTCATGTACTCATTCTTAGCACTAATATTATAGATAAACCTTACATAATTTAATTTCTATAAAAAAAAACTCAAAAAATGATAGCTGGCTTTATTGAATTTAATTTTGATTATTAAATTACTTTGATACTCTATTGAGTGTTTTGGGTTTTTTTAATGAAGTTTTGGGGTTGAGTTTGTTTAAGAAATCAATGGTAATTTTGTAATTTAAAAGAAGTTGGAGGCCTTTTTGTTATGTTGTAAATGAGTTTTAGGTGTGCTTCTAAAATCCATTTCATATCTGATTTTTTTTATAATTTAGACTCCTATATTGGGTATAATAATAAATCTCCCACGAGAGAATCTATTAGACCACTACAGATCTGCAGGATAGCAATTGTAAGTGTGAAGATTGAAAGCACACTCAACAAAAGTTGACCTTAATACAATTCAATAAATTTGCTCAATAAAAGAAGGAAAGAAGAAAGAAGGCAATCTATGTAATGGACGGCAGTGGTATGACGTGTATCATGTACTTAGAAGAAAATCTATGGAAAAGGAGAGCGAGGCGTGGCAGATGGCACAGGCACAAATACAATGACTGTATGGGTCCTCAGAGGCTGCTGGAAACACAGCTCTCTCACCATACATCTGGCAATACATAAAGAGTTGGTGAGTGGCATCAGGGGAAAGGAAATGCTATTAAATTAAGCATGCATTGAATTCTCATAGTTATATATTTTCTTTATTTGAGTGTTTTTTTTTATGTTAAAGATGTTCTTATTTTAAGAAAACGATAGAGTCCAATAATTGAACCTTTTATTATATTTCAAGAGTGAATTATGAAAGAAGTGATCAGATTGGAAAGGATTTTAGGGGAAATTACTTTCTATGTCATTTCTCAAGAGATGAGAAATGAAGATTCATTTCCCATGTTTAGTGATGCTGGAAAAGTAATCGGGATATATCACTTTATTTTCTTTCCCATGTTTGTTTTGAATAGGAATGGAAAACAAAGTTTGTATAATTTTCTAATTATATTCATATTAAATCAAATAAAAAAATGCATTACATGATATATATTGTAATTCTAAATTGTTAATGATGACAAAATAGTCATGAAAAATATGCATTTAATGTTGGCTTATTTTCCTAAACTTTTTCATGATGAGAAAAAACAAAATCCAAGAAGGGAGAAGGGTTTCACTTTCTCCCATACTTTTCTATGTGACGGGCAACCATTTCCCATACAGCCATGTTTGGATTTACCATACATGGGAAATCAATTGATTTCTCATCCCCAAACTTCCTTTCTCATAAACTAAACAGTACCTTAAAGCATGAAATGAATGAGATACACTAGAACCAGACACGTATACATCTCTTACATACTTTTATAGATTTGAGATATTGAAAAAAAAAAAAAAAAAAGAAAAAAAAAAATATTTTTGTTAAATTGATAATTAGGAAAGCTTCTAACCTTATCTCAAAGAAGGTAAGATTCTCTATGGATTAGGTTTTTGGTAATGTTTGGGGCCCAGAAAGACTTCCCATTTTGGATTTTTAAAAATGGATAAAATGTGAATGAAACTTTGGAGCAAACAAAGACATTCATATAATGACAAGTTGGCAATTAGATAGAATCTGATGTGTTTGCATCAGCTGGTGCCTAGGCATCTATGTATTTGCACACCATTCTTTTATTTTTATTTTTAATTATTATTTTTTTAATAGATCAATCACCATTTGTATTTTACATCTTGTGTTCAACTGAAAATTTCTAGGGCTACTTCGAAGTATATGTTATTGGGCTTCGAATTAATATAAATATTGGTTGAGCCTGGGCCTGAAAATTTCAATATTTATATAAGTCAGAGCATGAAATCCAATGGGATATATGTTTGTGGGAGGTGGGTTCTTTTATTTTTATTTTTGGATAGTGTGAGAAGATTTTGAGATTTCGCAACTAGACAAGGAAAAAGTGGATCGGCCTTGATATCTTGCATCATAAGAAATCTTGACTTCTAAGCAAGCCATTGTGCTCCAAGTGGGGATTGGCATGAATTGGTTCTTTTCTATGCTTTGC